CATTCAATAAGTATCTATTTAACATGCCCTTAAGATTTCTAGTTACTAAAAAGGAGTTTTGAAAATATGAGAGTTCATTTATAACATTTATCCTAGAGTACTGTACAGCACAGTGATAGAATGTTTGCCCAGCATACACTTCTTAGCTTGTTTTTTTAATCAGGTCACTAATATTAAGGTATATTTCTTTAAGGGATAGTGAAAAGAAAGCATATTCTATATGTGCTTGACCTCAGAGATTAACCTTTATACTTTATGCAGCTTCTTTAGGTTTTCAGGTTCTGGAGTCTTGGGAAAGTTGGATAAAGGGTTTAGAAAAAGAAGAAGATTGGTATTAGGGAAAGCTTCTTTAAAGGTTTCTAAAGCTCCTTGCTTTAATAAATTCTAGCTTTTAGTCATTTTAGAAAGAGAATCTTGCAGGGAAGCATTTTTTTTATTTTAAATTTTCAGTACTAGGAATTGAATCCAGGGGCACTTTACCACTGGATACATTCCCTAGCCCTTTTTTGTTTTGAGACAGGGTCTCACTAACCTGCTGAGGTTGGCTTGAACTTGCAATCTTCCTGCCTCAGCCTCCTGAGTTGCTGGGATATAGGTGTGTGCCACTGTACCTGGTCAACAGGGAAGCAATTTTAGTCTACAGATCATCTACCAGCTTTAGTGTATCAGTGAAATAAACTTCCCATTCTAATTGTTCAGTACATTTGATTTCTAATTTAGATTGAAAAAAAAGAATGATTTGCTAAAAACCTGTAATCATTAGAAGGGTTAATCCATTGTGATAAAAAAACGTGCACATTCAGCTCTACATTTTTTAGCATAAGCTGGCATTTATGAAGGCAGTCAGAAGTTTTAGGATTTTGACTACATATAACTAATAAAAGTTCTCTCAAATAAGGACAGGAAATCAATGTTTTAAGGACAGGAAATGAATTTTGAGTTTCAGTGTGCTGCTTGTGTCACTCCCAGAGTGTGACCAGGAAGACCTTKGCTACCCTTTTCTGGATCTCAGATAGCCCTGAACATCACATTTATCAGGGTGCCTGAGGTGCTGAGAGAAGTCCCATATTGCGCCCCTTTCAGATGAGTCAGAAATGTTCCTCTAACCTGGGCACAAACTATTATTTGGTAACAAGCCCTACAAAACCACTACTCATAATGGACAATGTGGAAATACTTCTGGAAAGTCTCCAAAAACTTCTCTAAGAGCCCTAGAAGAAAAAATTTGTCTTGAATTCAGAGTGAATGTTTAATTCATCCTCATTTGAATAATAGAGTTAACCATGTTGGTTTAACTGAAAGCAGCCAATATCCAAATAGCAACTACATGAATGGCCACCAGATGTCACTATGGGGTTAAAGTATTTCAGATAAAACAAAATAGCCAGAAAAAAAGAGAAAACCAAAATTGAATTCAAGAGTCCCCCCCGGCAGATATGATAGCAAATTTGAGGGGGTCCCCTCACAATATACTCAAATATACTACTATTTTAAAAATTTTACTAGGGACTGAACTCAGAGGTACATCTCCAGGCAGTCTGTCTATCTATCCATTCCATCTAATTATTGTTGTTGGGGATATTGAACCCAAGGGCACTCAACCCCTGAGACACTTCAATAGCCATTTTTTTTTAATAAATTTTTTTGAGAAAGGGTTCTGCTAAGTTGTGGAGGCTGGCTTTGAACTTATCCTCCTGCCACAGCCTCCCCAAATTGCTGGGATTACAGGTATGTTCCACAGCACTTGGCTATCATACCAAATTTGAAGGTATTCCTTTTCCAAATTTGAGGGCATTCCCATGACAACTCACCTGTTTTACAGACTGCTAATTCTGCCACAGATGTCCAGAGCAGCTATTTCCAGGTGAGCCCATAATGAAGGGACTCCACAAAGCCTGAATGTGATAGCTACAAGGTCTGGGTGTTCAATTCCAGGGCCTCYGAATGGTCAAACAGGAGGTACTTACCTTGAATGGATGAGAGTGATGCTATGGTGGCAATGTACTCAGCCCTGAGGGGATCATGTCCCCTTCTGCTCCTTTGAAGACTGGATCCTGTTGCTGCCATCAAAAAATATTAAACCAAAATTGAGACCACAGGATCTCTGGAATAAAAGAGTTCACTGAGCTGCAACAGATGTCAGCCTGGAAAAGGATGAGGTCTTGACAAGTTTATACAACTACCAGCATCAAGGCTGACAGTAGTTAGAAAAAGGTCCATAAGACATAGGGCTAAAGTACTTTTCTAACAAAAATTTGGGGAAGGAAACCATAAATTGAACCTACATTGACTATAGATATGAGAGGCACTATAATAGGGCAGGTGAAGTGTTGGAAAGGTAGGCAGTCCCAACTGTAGCTTCTGGATTGGTTCGGATATTTACCCTAGTCTGAAAAGTTGATATGTAGGGCTGGAGTTTGTGGCTCAGTGGTAGAGTGCTTGCCTAGCATGTGTGAGGTACTGGGTTTCATTCTCACTATTGCATATAAATAAATACATAAAATAAAAGTTTATCAACATCTAAATTTTTTTTTTAAAGTTGATATGTAAACAAGGTTTGATGGTCCTGGTGGTTCAAAGTGATGGGATCTAAGTATTCAACATATTATCAGGAATGTGAACTATTTTTTGTTGTTTTTTTCCCCTGCAAATTGTTAACTGATTAACATTCCTCATCTTTTCCTTCATCTTCTAGCCCTCATAATTGGACGTTTCAGCATTTTATCAGCAGTGACATTATGAAAGCTATGATGTCACTAGCTAACAGAATTTCAACACCAATATAATCTTGTGGGACCACTATCACATACATGCTATCTGTTATTGACTAAAATGTCATGTGGTGAAACAGTATTTAATTTGGGTTGAAATAAGGATTTCTCCAAATCCACTTTCCTATTAGTATTTTAGGTGTAAAATAATACATATTTACCACATGTGTTGAAACAAAAAGTTCAGTGAACAACTTGAATTTGGTACCTTCTAGTCAAGGAAAAAATCTATTAATGCAGGGTACAAAATCTTTAATATACATGCAACAAGTATAGTACATCAAGGCAACAAAATACACATGGAAATATTAACATATAGTTCAGCATTCTTTTGGGGGGAGGGGTTGTTAAAAATAAACACTACCACTCAAATTAAAGGTTAAGACATACATTGTTTCTTCATGCAAACATTTACAAACTACCTCTAGTGTGAAATGAACTGTGTAAAAACCTGAATTTCACAATAGCCAATGAATTTTATTCCAAGAGCTCCAAGAAAGGAGGAAAAGTCCTGATCCTCAGATGTCATGTTTAAATCTGCACTTAGCAGCAGGTTAAGATACACAAATTACTGTTCCCAGTAGACAAAAATCTGAAAAGTATACCAATTATGGAATCTTGAATTTCCTTCTACATTTTAAAAATGAATGGAAAAAAATAACAATATTTTTTAATTACTGAAGGATCCTATGTGTCAGCTGAAAGTGGACCATGAATTATAAAGCATTTAAATATTCTGAGAATTCTTAGGAAAGCTGCTCAAGGCTAGCCTAAAATTCCCAAAGTTCCCTCCTCATTCATTTCTTTACTCCATCCTCCCAAGATATCAAATGTCTTTATTTTGTATCTTCCTTCCTTCCCTCATGCTTGTTAAAAACTGCTTTGGATACTTCACTCTTGTCAAGGGTATACAGAATTAAGAATAGATKAAAGGTACCATTTCTCAAGAATATTTGCATTTCTACAAATATTAAAGCCTTAAGGTAAAGTAATAAAGCTCTGAGTATGTCCTGGCACACTTAAGATAGCTTATTATAAGGGCTTCCAGGTCTCCTTTGTCCCTGAAATGACATTGTTTGGACTGTCTCACATACAAGACTGACCTTATTTTATATTCCAAATTATGAAACTAAGCTCTAAATATTGCAGAGAACCATCAGACTCCTACATTTCTAATACAAAGAATGAACAGGTAATTCACTTCTTAAAAAATTGTTTTAGGAAGAACATTTTTCCTATATGTCAAAGCTACTATGTTTGAATGTAATGTTTTAGTAATAAACAAAAATACCATATGACATTCCAGATAAATATTGTGGCCTTTTCATGTAAACAATGTATAAAATTTCTTTGGCACAGCTAATCATGTTTTCCTTATTTCTTACTATAGAAAATATGTTTCATATATTTTCACTTTCAATATGGTGGAAATTTAAGGGACAAATGTAGCTGTTTTAAAAATTGCAAAAGATTTAAAATATGGACTATAAAAAAACTAATTTACCTGTAGAAGTGTAGGGACCTTTTAAATATTAACATCATTTTATAAATGAGATTATGACATGATGCTAGAGTTCATAAAACACGCATGACACAATTCATTGTTACATGTAAGGGAGGAAAAAATAGCACTGTATGTCAGACATTTATTTATTATTAAGTATGGTGCTTATTCTAGTGATCCTTGTTTAAAAGCTTCTCAATCTTTAGCTGAACTTAAAATCATTCCTGATGTAACATTTTCTAGCATTCCTTCTATATTTGAAACATTTCCAACTTTTCAGACATACCTGATCACATTTAAAAACTGACAACCGTTAATGAAAATCCTGGGGAAACAACAAGAAGAAATTTATTCATTTTCTCTCTGTATAATATACTTTACCTATGACCCATACAAAGAAAATCAGTGATTGCCCCAAAAGGCACATTCCTACAAAATTTATAAAATGTTAAATGGAATGTTTAATTAGTACCAAATGATAAATGTTGAAGAAAAAAAATGACAGGCTAGGGAATAGCTCAGTGTTGAGCACTTCTTTAGCTTGTTCAGGGCCCAGGGTTCAATCCCCAGCATAACCAACAAAACAAAACAAAACGAAACCACCCAAAACCAAAAAAAACTGAAAAACCACTGTGAACTGCAATCTAGAACACTGCCCTAATATTAAACATATGGCATTTAAATGTTAGAAATTAGTGGAAAACTGAATTTAGTTGTCTTATTTTGAAAATTTGACCACTGAGTGAAAGAAAATATTTAGCTTAAGTCTCTGGAATAAAGCCTTGATCTCAGTCTCTGATCACTAAGATATATGTAAAGAAATATATAAAAATCAGTTGAATATTAATTATGTACAATTTGAATGAATCATTAATTTGGAGAATCTTCAAAAGTTTTTTAAAGCCTGTTCAATTTTAAACTTTCTCAATGACAAATATAAGTTTTTTTAAAATGAAAAAATGTCAGGACCATTATTTTTCCCCTTATAAGTTTACATGGAGTACTGAACTCTCTAAGCAGAATTCCAGACATGTACCAGAACAATATAAAATTTCAAATGTCTCCCCAGCAATTGAACTTACATAAACTGAACATTTACAATATAGAAACTTTCAACTTTCACATAAGTTTTTCAGGATGGAGTTAGGCCTGGACTTGTCATCTCCGTTGTAGGACTTGCAAGGTAGTCATTAGATTTTAGACTTGTTAGAGACTTGTAACTTGCCACTGATGTAAGAGACCCACAGAGACCAAGTAATGAGGGAGTATCTTCTTTACCTGAAAGTCAGGATAAAATAACAATTAATAGCCTTTGAGAATGAAATCAATAAATTTAGCATGTGGTGCATAAATATAACCCAGTGACTTGGGAAGCTGAGGCAGAGCATCCCAAGTTAAGACAGCCTCAGCAGTCTGGCAAAACCCATCTCAAAATAAAAAATCAACAGGATTGGGGATGCAGCTCAGTGGTAAAATGCCCCTGGGTTCAATATCCAGTTCTGTACTAAAATATTACACAAGATTTTGYTTCTTGTAAAACTAGATATGAAAGTTTGAAATAACATGCTTTAGAACAAAAAATTAAAAGTTTACCTTTTTATGAGGACATGTTTGTGTTCAGTTGGTTAGTAAAGGATAATAAAAACCTAAACAAATAAAATAAGTACCTATTCCAGAGGAATACTGGGAAACCCATACTTAGGTTAAGTAATGCATTAGAAYCAGGTTGGTCCTGGTGAGACTGGACTATACCAACTTACAAGAAAGGTTTGATTTTAGAGACTGCGTTCATGTATTGAACATTTACTTAGTATCTACTATTTGCATCAGGAACTCTCCTAAATGCTGGACTTTGATGAAACTCTGAAGGAAGAATGGCACATCTGTTTCTGTGGCTGAGGTAAAACTTCCTATAGCTGAGTAAGTTTCAACGCACACTGCCCAGACACTAGCTGTAAGTGGCTCTGGCTTAGGGTTGTGAAAGGCTAAAGACTTTGAAAATTAGCAGGTTTCCAAAGATGGAAAACTTGGATTTCACTCATGTCATTATGGAAATGTAAGCTGAGCTGGATATCAGATGGTTTTGAATATTATGTATTATTTCAACCAGCCTTTGAAGATTTCCCATAGTCCTTTTGTACTTAACTCTACCTTATCACACTGTGTGGCAAGTGGGGGTTCGTTTTTTTTTCTCTCTCTCTCTCCCTCTCTCTCTCTCTCTCTCTCTCTCTCTCATTAGATGATAAACTCTTTGAGAAAGGACATGGATTCTGTTTTATTGATTATTGTACTCCCAGTACCTAGTACACAATAGGTCATTAAATAACTATACAATTAATAAAGAATGATTATATGGAATTGCACTGGAACTCAAGATAGGACCTATGTCCTTTTCAGCTTTGCAACCTTGGGCAAGGCATCTTCTCTGAGCCTGTTCTTTCCTTTGCAAAGTGGGAACAGATACGAAAAAAATGACTGGTTTTGCTAACTTCACAGTTTTGCTGACCAGGAAAACATAATTACTCTTAGAAAACATATGGATGAGTAGTTGCTACATTTATATTTTAAAATGTTTATCATATTATATTATGATTAAAAGGTATAGCTCAGTGGTAGAGCACCTCTGAGTTGAATGCCTAGTACCCCACCTCCAAAAAAAAAAAAAAAAGGAAAGAAAGAAATCTTTAGACTCAAACTGGTAGGACTTGATGACAGCAAAATGATCGGTGGAAAAAACAAGAAAGACTCAGAAGGTTTTCAGAATTGGTAGATGAATGGTGAGATTACCAACTCTAAGACAGGAGAAGAAAAAGGGGATCAATGAGGACAGGAATTGATAATGAATATGTATTCTAATTTTGAGGAATGCCTAAAGGAACGCCTTAACCTCTATCACAAATCCACAAACTGAAGAAAAGTTACGCCGTTAACATGTAAGGTCCATGTCACTTTTTATAATTGATAGTTAGAGAAACGGGAAGGCTATTACTTCATATAGTAAAATTTCAAACTGCTTGAACCAGTATATGTTGCAGTTGATTGGGYGGGGGTGGGGGGGCTCTGACACAGTTGTTTCTGCATGTGCCTATATGGACTTGGTCACAGGTAGTCAGTCATGTTGATATCAATTTAATTCAGTTACTTGTCTGACTGGAATCACAAGTGCTGAGTTTATATACAGCTTAAAATACCTTAAAAACCATAATTTGGCCTTAAAATGAAAAGTTATTTGTTTACAGGAAAGAATGAAAACGGGCAGCTAGAGATAAATTTCATATTACTAAAGCAAATACACATTAGAAAAATTATTRCAAGTCATTTTCTCATAAAATAATACAAAGCTTGTTACAAAGTAAATCTCTAAGAAAGGAAAATACCTTGCAAGTAAATGAAAAATTGTGACATGCAAAAGGATTGCTTGTCACATACCAAGCATGTAGCTAAGGCAGGAGAAATCCATCTGAATACAGAATTTGGGGGCTGGGGGCAGGTTGTAGGGGAGTGGTAGAGTGCTTGCCTAGCATACACAAGGACCTGGGTTCAATTATATTATGATTAAAAGGTATAGCTCAGTAGTAGAGCACCTGGCAGGGAGGCTGGTGCCACAAAAACTGAACCATATGCAGCTGGTATGACTGATTAATGTATTGTGCAGGATCTTTTAACATTTTTCATAAAATTCCTATGGCCTATGAGGAGAAGCTGTTTAACTTCCAAAAGTATTTGGTTTAATTGAGGGGGTATGGATAAACTATAGGAAAACAGGAAAGGGCATACAGAAAACTTACTGGTAGTTTGAAATAAAAATTCCTACAATAGTATTGAAATGGTTCTTTGTTGGCACAGAGGATTATATTGTGAGGAAAGACATGGTCATTGATGATTTTGACTCCAAAAAAGGACTCAGAAGAGACTGACTCTGAACAAAGAAGTCCTGGAAATACCCTGAGCAATTGAATTTATTTTTATTTTCCCTCTTATAGATACAGAGCAACAAAATATGATTTTTTAAATCTGTGCTTAAAGTCTAAAAGAAGCAACAAATGATCAAAGAATGAAATTAAGAAAACAATTCCATTGATAACAGTATCTAAAAGAATAATATATGTAAGAATAAATTTGACCACAGAAGTGCAAGAGTTGTATACCTTTTGAAAATTATGGAATATGTTGAAAGCAATTAAATATCTAAATACATGAAAAAAGTCTCATTTTTTCTATGGATTAGAAGACAATATTGTTAAAATGGCATTAACTCTCCCAATATATATTCAATGTCACTCCCATTGAAATTTTCATTGCCTTTTTTATTCCAGAGATGACAAACTGATTCTAAAATTCGTAACAAAATGCAAAAGATCCCATATAACTTCAACAATTTTGAAAAGGAACAATACTACAGACCTCAAACATCCTAATTTCAAACTAAAAGCTAAAGTAATCAAGACAGTGTGGTATTAGCACAAGGATAGTGTGGTACTAGCAAAGACACCCAGATCGATGGAATAGAATTGAAACCCCAGAAATAAATCCATACATTTACGGTCCATAGATTTCTACAAGGGTTCTAAGACCATTCAATGAGGRAGAAAACTGTTCTTTCAACAAATGATTTTTGGGACATCTACATATTCATATGCAAAAGAACAAAGTTAGACCCTTTGCCCACAGTTTATATAAAAATTAACACAAAATAAATCAGAGACCTAAATGTAAAAGTTAAAACTGTAAAATTCCTAGAAGGAAACATAGGTATAGAYATGCATGACCTGGGATTAGACAACAGTTTCTTATATACGACACCAAAGCATAAGCAATCRTAAGAAAAATTAGATAAATAGACTATACCAAAATTGTAACTCAATTCATCAATARTAAAGGATAATGCAATTTTAAAACCACCAAAGAACTTGAACAAACATTACTCCAAAGATGATATACAAATGACCAAAATGACCAGTAAGCTCATGAAAAGATGCTAAAAATCATTATTGGGGAAATGCAAATTCAAACTACAAGGAAGTCCAAATTAATGCTCATTGTGAGATGGACATCATTACCCTACAAACATGTATAACTGCACTTGTGGTGCAACTTTACATCATGTACAACCAGAGAAATGAGAAGTYGTGCTCCATTTGTGTACAATGAATTGAAATGCATTCTGCTGTCATGTATAACTAATTATAACAAATTTTTTTTTTAAAAAAGCACATAATAACAAGTGTTAAAGAGAAACTGAAACCCCTTTTGTTGACATTGGGATTGTAAATAATGCAGTTACTTTGATATATTGGTTGGCAGCTTCTCAAATGGTCAAATATATGATCCAGTTAATTCTAGCCCTAAGTATATACTCAAGAGAAATAAAAATATATGGTCACACAAAGACATATATAAATCTTCATTGCAGCATTATTCAGAATAGCCAAAAAGTAAAAACCACCAACAAGTTCAACTGATGAATAAACAAACAAATTATGGTATATTCATACTGTGTAATATCATTCTGCCACAAAAAGGAATAAAATATTGATATGTTATGACATGAATGAACCCTGAAACATGCTAAGCCAAAGAAGTCACAACTTTTAAAAGAGCTACATATTATAGGATTCTATTATATTAAAATTTCAGAATAGACAAACCAAAGACATAGAGAGTAAATTAGTAGTTGCCAGTTACAGGGGTGGGGGTAAACTGAGGGGGAATTGGAACTGGGGACTAATAGGGCTTCTTTTTTGGGTGATGATAATATTTGGGAACGAAGCAGTGGTGATGGCTGCATAACACTGTGAATGCTCTGATTACCAGTTCACTGTATACTTTAAAATGGTGATTTTTTAATTCTRCCAAACATTGTGGCATCCACATTTAATCCTAGTGATTGAGGAGGCTGAAGCAGGAGGATGGCAACTTCAAGGCCAGCCTCAGCAACTTAGCAAGACACTCGGCAACCCTGTCTCAAAATAAAAAGTAAAAGGAGCCTAGTGGTAGAGTGTCTCAGAGTTCAATCCTCAGTACTGAAAATAGGTAAGTAAATAAATAAATAGAAGGGGTAAATTTTATATTGTGTGAATTATTTTTTAAAATATATATATATTTTTAGTTGTAGGTGGCCACAATACCTTTATTTTATTTTTATGTGGTGCTGAGGACTGAACCCAAWGACTTACACATGCCACCCAAGCACTCTATCATTGAGCCATAGCCCCAGCCCCCTTATTAAGTGAATTATTTTTAAATAAAAGTGGTTAAAGAAAGTCTAAAGGATCTCT